GTCCATCATTAAACAGGGGCGGGGGTCTCCGTGTTCATCTGTCACCCTCTTACAATGTTGTTATTGCAAGCCCTCTGTGAATAGCAAGGCTGTCACCAGCAAACTGGTTGATCCACTATGAGAAAGTGTTGTTTTTAACAGAGTTTGTTGCAGCGCCTCAGACTGAGGTGTCCAGAGGACCTGAATGGTAAATTTATGAAATAGCATCAAAAAGTCTGGAAGAATTGTGCTCAAGACCACTTTAACTTATTGCAAGACAACATAGCTTCTTAGAAGCAAAATTCAAAGATTTGTCTTTACAATAAATAGGAAAAGTAGAACCATGGTGTACACCTTTCCTCAGATACTCACCACACTTGTCTCACTTTGCTGTTGTTCCTTCTTCTTCTTCTTCTTGTCTTTCTTCTTGTCGTTGCCCTGGGCAGCCTTCCCCCCAGCTGCTGCTCCTGCTTTTCCTTGTCGATGCTTCCCGGAAGCCTCTTTTCCGGCTTTGGTGGTTGACTTCCCCGGCTCGGAGGTATCCGACTCCGAATCGGAGTCTATCTGGAGCAGAGCAAACCGGGAGGCGGTGGTCGGGACGGTGATCATTGCAGGCGATGCCATAGTGTGACTGAAAACTGAACACAAATTACAGTTTTATTAGCTAAACTTTAGTCGGTTAATGCTCGCAACCTTTTTAAACAGCCAAATTAAATAAACGCCTTAAACAGCTTTTTATGCTAATCAAATCACTGTCACACAATCTTACATTCTGCCTTTGTTACCAGTCTACAGTTAGCGACAGATTAGCCTTTTAAACAGCAGCGACATTGCCGAGCTAGCAGCTTTTGTTAGCTAACAAGTACCAAAGTTGTTATCCTTGCCAGTCGACAAAACCTCTATAGACTCATATTTATCTTTTGTTATTGTCGCACTGGCTAGTATATGTTGAAGAAGCACAACTAAAAAGAGAAGTCCGTTAAAATACTTTCACCTGTTCGCGAAAAACTGTGAGCAGCAGCTATCAGCGATTGTCTAACTCGGTACGGAAGCCCGTTGGATCAAAATAGTGTTAAATTGCGATTTCAACTGGTGCTAATTCGCAAAGTTAACACTAAAGTGTTTGTTGCTGCTGCTAACTAATAAATCCTGTTACTGTTTTAAGTCAGTTTCATAAGTCTTGTTTGTCCACAGTTTTTAAATTATTATTATTATATTATTATTATTATTATTATTATTATTATTATAATTATCATTTATTTTTAAGCCATCTTTAAAGAGCAAATTATACATACTTACATATCCATGCATACTTACGGCAGTGGAGACAGGGTCTTGTATAAGCAGGCAAGAAATAAAGTGACCAAGTTTATCAGCGCAACAAGAATCTGCAACAAAATGCTGAAAATTGAACTGAGTTCACCCGTGGGCCTGATTTGGCCCCCTGGCCTCCAGTTGAATAATCCTGCTGAAGGCTCTTCCAGCATCAGAAGACCAGGAAATCTCCAGGACCTGATGTTAATTTCCTCCTTCTGCCTGAAATCCTATACAGTCCAACTGGCCCCCATCTTCACTCACATCTTCAATGTGTGAGGTTCCCTCAGCCTCAAGCATTCCACTAGTCCCCATTGCACCATAACAGGAATAAATGCTTACAGACCTGTTGTCCTGACGTTTGTGGTCATGAAATCTTTTGAGCGACTGGTGTTGAAAACATCTCAAGGACTTCACAGGTCCCCTGCTGGATCACCTGTAGTTAGCTTATCAAACAAGCAGGTCAGCAAATGATGCAGTCATTCTGGGACTACACTTAATCCTGCACCACCTCGACCACCCAGCGAGGTACATCAGGATCCTGTTTGTGGATTTCAGTTCGGCCTTCACCATCTTCAACCCAGACATTCTCCATCAGAAGCTCACCCAGCATACAGTGCCAGCCTCCACCTGTCAATGGATCACCAGCTTCCTGAATGACCGGCAGTAGCAGGTGAGGCTGGGGAGCATCTTCTTCCGCATGAGAACCAGCGGCACCAGTGCCCTCCAGAGGTGTGTTCTCTCCCCACTCCTCCTCTTTGTGCTTTAATGACTGCACCTCAGTGGACTGATCTGTGAAACTTCTGAAGTTTGCAGATGACATCACTGTTACAGGACAATGACAAGTCTGCATACAGACAGGAGGTGGATTGGCTGGTCCACTGGTACGGTCAGAACCACCTGGAGCTTAACCTGCTCAAGACTGTGGAGATGACAGTGAACTTCCAGAGAAGCCCCCCCCCCCCCCCCCCCACACACACACACACACACACACACACACCTCACTGCCTCCTCTCATCATCCTCAACAACACTGTGTCTACTGTGGATCATATCTGGCTCCTAGGAACCACCCTTTCTGGAGACCTGAGATGGTCCTCACACAAATACACAGCTTGGAGAAAGGCCCAGCAGAGACCACTTCCTGAAACAACTCAAGTATACCACGGGAGCTGCAGCTCATCTTCTACACAGCCATTATTTAGTCTGTTTTGTGCACAGCCATCACTGTGGGGTTTGGCTCATCCACAAAACAGGAAAGGTCCAGACTGCAATGAACAATCAGGTCTGCAGAGAGAATCATCGGACTGACCTTCACTCGATCCATGACTTGTACAGGTCCAGGATCAGGAAAGGGCTGCTAACATCTCTGCAGACCCCACACATCCTGGATACAAACTGTTTAGACTTTTACCTTCAGGTCGGCGCTACAGAGTGCTATTTGCAAAAAAACAGCCGCCACAGAAATAGTTTCTTCCCCCAGGCGGTCTCTGTGATGAACTCAATAAACACTATGACTACTTCCATGTAACACTGTCACATAGTAATCAGCTACGGTACTCTGCTGTGAAACAAGTAATACGCATATTTGCATTACCACAACCTGCCTTCTTTTTCTTTTCCTTCGGTGTATTTAAAAAAGACTGTATATATTAATACATGTACATACCAACATGGTGCATGCTCAATAGTCCAGGTAGAATAATGTAACAAGTTTAAGTCAGGTCCTCTAGACAGATTCTTGTTGAACATACTGTTCTAGTGCCTGTACACTATTAGTGCTGGAAACCAAAGTCAAATTATTTGCCTGTGCACACAAACATGACCAATACAAGTGATTTTGATTATTCAGTGCAGGTGATGGTGGATCATGCTGACCTCCACACCAGAGGAGGCATTGTTCTTCAGGTAGTGTCTTGATTTAAAGTATCCCAGTGGAAGCACAGTTTACAAAGAATAGCAGGATGTATCTTCCAAAATCTCCAGGACATGATGTCCATGGGTAAATGGTGTAAGGAATATCAACAGAAAACACATTACATAAATGAGATGTATTATAAAAGTTTTAATATTACACTGTACAGAAAAAAAAAGCAACCAATACAAAAATGTTATACTATCATCAACATAAACAACAATGTATATTAGTTCCAGCCATGCAGCTTTGTTTGAGCCAATTATGTTGTTCAAGAGAAGAAAATTAATTTAGTTGATGCAGACTATGCTGGTCACAAGAACAAAAACAACATAAATAATTTGATAATATAGGAAACAACAGAAAAGTGCTTGTCCTGGGATCTTTCACCAACAACATACCAACGTTTGTAACGTTACAAAAACACTTTTATACATAGACTGTTCCTGACATTATAAAGACCGTTTAAAAAAACGTACTGTCCAGAATAAGAGCTTTATGATCAAGTATCTGAAAGAACAAAACAGAATGTATGGTGCTGTGCAGCATTTGGAAGTGCTAAGTAAATCTATCATAACATAGAAAGTTTCATCTAATTATTAAATCAGATAAAAAGACACAACAAAACATCAAACTTTGTTCAGATGATAAAAATGGCTTCCCTTCATGTTATTTCTTTTAATCAGAGGCTACATTTGGATATTTCTAGCACTGTGCCAAGACAACAGAAACTGAACAGCCACAGATTTTAGTCTGCCTTTGCATAAATTAGATCATAAAGTGTAAGAATTTCTGTCGTCTCTCTTCTGATATGAAATAGACAGACGTCAGTGACAACAGTTTAACTGTTCAACACGTTCTTCTTATTGTGAACATATAGTTATATTTGATTTAAAAAATGCACTTGAAGGAACTTCAAGTTCACTTCACAAAGGATTTTAAGCACCCAGCCAACAGCACATGAAGATTTTCATACCTTGTTTAAAATTATATGAATACATTCATGTCAGACATCCAAACTGAACCAAGAATCACCTGAAATCTGCCAGACATCTGTGGAAAAATTACATGTATGAAAGGGTTTTAATCAGATCAGAAAATAAAGAAAAATCATCTGCCAGTTTTTCTGGGCACTTCTATTGAGTCCTCCATCATTGACTCAGTGCTGGCATCAACAGCAGCCTGCTGCATCCTATTGGCAGAACCAAAGATCTGCAGGCCAGCTCCAGAAATCTGCTTCAGCTCTCTGCGACACAATCTGACAGGTGTCAACTCGAAACCTCCCTCAGAGTGAACTCTTGAACTCCTCCCATGGGGTGGTGTGAGTATCTGGTTGTGTTCAGACATTTTTGTCTGTTGAAGCGTTAAGCAGACAGAATCTCTGTGTGTTTTTGCGACAGTTTGCTCAGTGTTTACTTTTGTGTATGTGGTTGCAACATGTGTTGTTTTCTTTACCTCCTCAGAAGGAGCTCGGACTTTATTTGCACTCTGCGTGTTGTGCATTTGTCTGTGCAGGGGCTGATTGTCAGGCTGCACGGAATCACCAAAAAGCTCTTTCAATTTCTTTTTGAGCTGCCGACTGGAGCTTTTGTAGAAAAACAGCTCTTTCTCGAGATGCTGCAGTCTGTCTTGTATTGCATGTTGTGTCTCTCCAGAAGCTTCCTCTAAATACACGCAAACACAAGGAGAAACAAATGTCAGTGATGCAGGGATATTCATTTTTAAAGTCAACAAATCTGAATATGTTCAGAATCCGCACCTTTAAGTTTCTGTAGCAGCAGCTGAATGTTGTTCTGGTGGTCTCGGTGCTGCTGAGTGAGTCTGCGGTCTGCATCCAGGACCAGACGTTGCATGGCCGCCTCCATCTCCTTTAGCGCCACATCCTGCTCTTCTGCGTGAAGCTCCAACTCTTCACACTGCAGTCGTAGTTGGCGCTCCACTTCTCTGAGACAAACAACCTGCACGCGGTGACAAATAACAGTGTAACGTGAGAGCATCATTACAAAGTAAAGTAGTTTTTAATTTACACATGCAAAAGAAAGGACAGAGGAAAAGAAGCTCATAAAAAGTTATAATGGCGAATAAAATAAAAGCACAAGCGCCTTTAGAAAAGTAGGTGTAGTTAAATTCCTGCAAAATAAAGAATTCTACTCGTTTTACTCAGAAATACTTCAAGTGGTGAAAGAACTAAACGAGAGCAAGTGTAAAAAAAAAAACAGATACAGGTAAAAAATAAAAATAAAAAGACAGGTTTTGTACGCTGTTTATGTGAAGACAAATGTAGGTCTATATGTGAAAGTTAATTTTATCTCACCTTATTAAAATATTTCATCAGGAGATCAAATGTCGCAGCTGGTGAGAGCTTCTTCAGCTTCTTGGTAATGTCCCGATGTTGAACGAGTTCAGCACTTTGTGATGGATGCAAAGACGAGTCACTGACTAAAAACTGCTCCTTTTGTTTAATAGACTTGTTTTTAAATTTGAGAGCTTCATCTAGAGCTTCAATAGCTTCCTCCAGTTGTAGAAGACAGTGCTCTTCCTTCAAGGACAGACAGAAAGTAATGACCAATAAAACTCCAGAAAATCTGTTCAAATGTGTACACAACGCATCAACCCCTGAGCTTTTCTTACATCTGCAGTGAGCACCCTGTTGTCCCTCTGCTGGGCATCCAGAGTGTCTCTTTTCATCTTCAGCATGTCTCTCTCTTTCTCCAGTTCCTCCCTGGAAACTCCTGCAGCCCTTTTCACAGTGCTGCTGCTCTGCAGCTGCTCCTCCACAGACTCTAACTGCACGGATACACGCAGCAAATCTCGGCTCAAGGCCTGAAAAATATC